AGCCCTTGGTCAGAGTGAATGCCAAAATTATTACAACAGATGACGCAATGGTGATGAAAACAGCTTTCGAAAGAGCAGTAGTGGTTGCGAAAGTTAATTAAAGTCAGTTAGTTGCAACGGTTGCCTCAAGCCTGACAACTTTTGGCCAGTCTGGCCTCTATATGAACTAGTATCTGACTATTACTGTAGAATTTGCCTGCGAATAATATATCGAAAGTACAAAATGCAAATCACGGTGTTTGACAACTATTTGCATAATATTTCTGTACAATCACCAACGTCTAATCGGATATACGCACGGCCATGCTATCTCGTTGCAGTGTGTCACACTCGCAAATCTGGAATGTTTCAGACCGCATATATAATCGACCGGTTAAGGTGCACACGTCAGTGAAGTATTAATCGTAGCGAGAACTGGCGTGTAGTGACACCTTGACTGACTGCTGGCCGACCATGGTGAGTGCATGCAGTTTTTTATGTGTGTATGCTGAAGTATTTTCAGGACAGGCTGTTCGCTTCGTTGCTGCTTCTTTCAACGCTAGCAACGGTATTCGGGTACTATGTCCCCTGCTATGGACCTAACTGCGAAGTAGGTGGCCATATAATCATGACTGACGTAAAATCATGCATTTAACAAAAATTTAAGTATTACCATAATGACTACCCGACGACGACCGAAGCCACTACTCCAGCGTCAGACGACCCCGAAACACCGCCAGGCTGGACTTATCCCTGGTACTTGAGCACAACACCATCCACTCCAATTTCTGATACTCCGGAAACCACAACCTACGTACCTTACTGGCTGTACTATCGTCCAAGAAGGACTACAACTACGACGCTCACCACCCCGATTTCTGAAACTCCTGAAACCACTACTCCTACAACTCCGATTTCAGAAACTCCAGAGACTACCACCCATACCACGCGTCACCATCATCACCCCTACTGGCACCATCACTTCAGGACAACGACCACTACCACTCCTACCACTCCGATTTCAGAAACGCCTGAAACTACCACCCATACCACGCGTCACCATCATCACCGCTATTGGCATCATCACTTCAGGACAACGACCACTACTACTCCTACCACTCCGATTTCAGAAACGCCTGAAACTACCACCCACACTACGCGTCATCATCATCATCCCTATTGGTATCATCACTTCAGGACAACGACCACTACCACTCCTACCACTCCGATTTCAGAAACGCCTGAGACTACCACCCACACTACGCGTCATCATCATCACCCCTATTGGTATCATCACTTCAGGACAACCACCACTACCACTCCTACCACTCCGATTTCAGAAACGCCTGAAACTACCACCCATACCACGCGTCACCATCATCACCGTTATTGGCATCATCACTTCAGGACAACCACCACTACCATTCCAACCACTCCAATTTCAGAAACGCCCGAGACTACCACCCACACTACGCGTCATCATCATCACCCCTACTGGTATCATCACTTCAGGACAACCACCACTACCACTCCTACCACTCCGATTTCAGAAACGCCCGAGACTACCACCCATACCACGCGTCATCATCATCATCGCTATTGGCATCATCACTTCAGGACAACCACCACTACTACTCCTACCACTCCGATTTCAGAAACGCCTGAGACTACCACCCATACCACGCGTCATCATCATCACCCCTATTGGTATCATCACTTCAGGACAACCACCACCACTACTCCTACCACTCCGATTTCAGAAACGCCTGAGACTACCACCCATACCACGCGTCACCATCATCACCCCTATTGGTATCATCACTTCAGGACAACCACCGCTACTACTCCGATTTCCGACACTCCTGAGACTACAACCGTAACGCCGTACTGGTTTTACTGGAGAACGACAACGCCAACTACGCCGATATCTGACACTCCAGAAACAACGACGATTACCACAACCAGGCGTCATCGGAACCTGCATGAAAAGTCTTTGTTTATTGGTTCGCCAAACAGTGAAAAGTTTTTCTACTTTCAAGAAAACAGCCCTCTTCGTTTCCGTAGCAACGTGCTCTTCAGGGATGACAAACACCTGGAGATCGGCGGTTTCAGAGTTGGACATCCAGATTTTCCCGTTTACGTTGCTAACGATGCAATACATCACTGAGATGATATGTGCAATTGCGTTCTTTTGTAAATTATCTAATCGTAAATAATTCGGTTGCTTACGAGTTCATGATTGAATTAAATATCGTTCAGATGATCGTTCGCTTGGCATTTATTCCGCATTTTTGTAGATGTATTGCAGTACCAGAACCGTTATGAAATTCTGATATAATACAGTAGTTTGCTGTCCCCGGTTATTAATTACGCGATCGTAATACATAATCAGAGAAATAATCGGTTACGTACTTTGCAGGAGATGTCGGAATCGTTTTCCGGAATAAGTAACGTATTGATAGCGTTTAACGTTTGGACCAACGGCCAGAGCACTGAACTTTGATGGTTGAAGGATAATTTCGGTCA